TTTTTTTGCTGTTACCTTCCGTGGTCCTTGCACGGGCTGGCCACCCGGGACCCGGGCGGCCCGGCTGGTAGCCTAGGTGGCTGTGCTGTTCCAAGTGTGGACTAGGGAGCCATGGTGTTGGGAGAGTAAAATGATTTTCAGATTTTGTGGTTTTTTAATTATTATTTTGTTTATTTATGTTTGAGATCGAAATGATGTTGTGGTTTGCGATTGTGATTGCTCTCTTGCTGCGTGGAGGGCAGGCAGCTACTATATTTTTTTTTTCTTCTTTTTTTTTCCCCCTAACAACTTAGCTGTTCTCTTCTATCTCCATATGATTCTTTTTTTTCCTTTTTCTCCGAGGTTTATTTAAATTATTTTACTATATTGTGTTAATTGGACTTAGTCTCTTCACCCAAAAAAAACGCCTTGTCATTATAGCTGTGTATTTGGCAACAATTTCAATCCAGATACAGGGATAATGGCCGGGCGTTCTATTCGGGTGAAGACGATAGTATGGGTACCTTCTGCACCTGGCATATTGGACCTTGCGGCATTGTTCCTCGTGTGGGACAAAGTCTTTTTTCCCTGTTTTTTTCTGGGACTCTGGGACTGTTTTTCTGGGACAATCTTTTTTCCACCCTCCCCCCCCTTCCCCCCCCTCCTCCTCTGGGACAGAGTCTTACTTACCTGGATTCCTCGTTTCTGGCCGTAGGATATCGGGATCACTCTGTCCCAGACTCTGTCCCAGCCATGAAGAATCTAAGTAAGTGGGACCTCAAAGCCCTGGTCTTTCAGAGTGTGCTGAGACTTATTTTGGAACCCCCCCCCCCCCCTCCCCTCCCACCTTTTCCTGTTTGACTACTTATTCTTGTGGGTTTTTATTTTTGGGCTCAAGAACCGTGTTGTCTTTTGATGACAGCCGCCCTTGCTTGCGGTTACGCCCTCATTACATTACATTACAGTTTTTATTTATTTGCTTGTTTAGTATATTTATTATTATTCTGTTAACCGCCACAATCTCTCCGAGCCTCTCTTTTCCATGACGGATCTGTGTTGCGCGCCAAAGGGAAAAACGAACCAGCGCAGGGGCACTCTCTCTCTCCCTCTTTCTCTCTCCCCCCCTCTCTCTCTCACTCTCTCACTCTCTCCCTCTCTCTCCCATGACGGATCTGTATTGCGCTGCCAGTCAAAGAGGTCCGGGAGGTGCTACAGTCACATTTGAACACAGATAAACTTCTACCCCCCACAGGAATGTGCTGGTGAAAAAAAAAAAAAAAAAAAAAAAACAAGAGCCTGGGAGGTGTAGGCTATACGAAACCACCACTACCTTTCAGAGGCATGTTTTTTTGGAGAAAAGCTTCATCGCAAAAAAAAAGTCTGTGAAAGGTGGTGGTGGTTTCGTATAGCCTACACCTCCCAGACTCTTTTTTTGTTTGTTTTTTTTTGTTTTGTTTTGTTTGGGCAGAACGCTGGCAGCCATACATTTGACTATGGTGGAGGTGAGAAAGGGCAATGTAGGAATTTGACTAAGGGCTGTGTAAGGTGGAAGATCCATGGAGGATGACCGCGTGGTGGCGGTTGAACTTGGAACCGGTCGGGGGTGCCAGAACCCACTGGGTTCTGCAGTCATTGTACAATCGGTTTTGCATGAGCTTTTCTATGTCTACGCACGAGGTTTTCTATGTCTACGTAGACATTCGGTGCGGCATGGACTTTGCGTGTGGCATGGACTTTGCGTGTGGCATGGACTTTGCGTGTGTGCCTCATCATCAGATCGGTTAAGACTTCGAGCGATAAATTTGGGCAGATGCCGAGCCTGCTTTTGTATTTTTCTTTATTACCTGGTCATGAAGGACTTGGCTAGTGAGGCCAAGGGTGACGGTTTGAATCCGTGCATGCACGGAGAGGGCTGAGGCCCAGATTTACGGGGATTTAGAACTACGGTGTGACGAGCCGCCACAGCCATCCTGAAGGGGTTACATTCATTGTATTCAGGATAACTAATCTTTTAGTAGACTTTACCCAAAAAAAAAAAAGAAAAAAAAAAAGAAAAGAAAAAAGGATGCTATTGCGTAATTGGCTGTGGGTCGGCTCTTATAACTTCTGAAGGATCTTTATTAGCACTCGTCAGTGTGTCTGACTTTTTGCACCGTTCCGTTCGGTCACACAGCACAGTGCTCATCGTGTACGGGCTTAGGGCATACCATCATGATCATCGCTTTCTGAAATGCACCTGACCGCAATTACGGCCAGACCTGCACGAATCTGACTGCAATCACGTCCAGAGCTTTGTAGAACAAAAGTCCTATTTTTCTTAGAGTATATGGCACTATATGCCCTAAAGCTCTCCTCGTCCATGCCGGAAGGTGACTTGTTGTTTGAATCGTCCTTGTCCATCAGTCTGACATCTGCTCCGTCCTTTTGCACTCTATCTGTTGTTGTCAGTCTGATGTCTGTATGCCTGCTCACATAGTGGGACACAAAACTTGAAAAAAACAAACAAACAAACAAAAAAAAAAACACTTTTATTCAGCTTGGTTATGTACAGAGTTCACAATCGTAGTAATAACTCCTTCGTAGTATCAACTAGAATATCTTTTTAAACAGCCGTCTTCACCCGAATAGAAAGCCCGCCCGGTAATTATGGCTGTATTTGGAGCAGCGTTCCGTTCAGATACAGAGATGATGACTGGGCGTTCTATTCGGGTGAAGAAGGTAGGTTACGGGGGATGCACGGCCAGGCAGTCAGCCAACTTGCCTGGGCCAACCCCGGCATGTTAAAACATAAAATTTCCTAAAAAGTCCATTTCTATTTTTATTAATTTTTAATCAGCGGGGTGTTTCCATGCCTGCCGAAGGCACAGCCCAAATCTGGGCTCTTTTATGTTTTTCAGTGTTGTCAGTTCGTGGTGTTGGTGGGGGAGCGGGGGGGGGGGGGGGGGGGGGGGGGGGGGGGGGGGGGGGGGGGAGAGAGGGGGGAGGAGAGGAGGGAGGGTATAACCTTAAAGGTCACCATCAGCTCCATCTGTTTATTTACACAGACAGAAACTCACATATGATTAAACTTCATTAAAGTTGAATCTTTGTAGTACAAACCTGATGAAACGAGGAGACTCTGTCCTTCGGGACATCCGTTAAAATTGGAACGACACAGGGAAGGGTAATTAGCAAAATGGCCCCTGTGCAACGATGACATGCATAAATCGAGAAATGGTCCAAATTATTATTAAAAAAAAAGAAAAAAAAAAGAACCTAGGAGACTCTGCCACAGCAACACAAGCCATCCTACTGGGAGGAGTACTAGGACAGCATGCTGACTAGGCTGTCTCGCCAATTATTAAAAAAAAGTCAAATATTTGTCTCCATCTGTACTTGTGTTCATTGTGTGATGCTTGAGCATCAGAGGTCCACAAGGAGAGGAATGGTTGCGACTATGCTTTCATCGACGCCTGTAGGGATGTATTTGTACAGTATAAGTGTCTTGGATCCTGTCAGGTTTATCACTGCAGTGGAAGACTGGGTTCATGGCATCACGTTCAATATTCACTTTTGTTTTTCCTTTGCTGAATTGTTATGACGAAAGATGTGTGTGTGTGTGTGTGTGTGTGTGTGTGTGTGTGTGTGTGTGTATAAGAGACAGCTTTCAGAGTGTGCTGAGACTTATTTTGGAACCC